CAGGTGGAGGGTGCTTTGTTGGCAAGGGTGATCACTTCAGCCTTGATGAGGGTTCAGGGTCCTTGCCAGCCTAGACTAAGGGAGGGAGGCAGACATGGACTTGTCCCTGCCTTCTGAGGGTGACAAGGGTCAACTTTATGGCCCTGCTCTCCCAGTGGGACAGCACAATTACTGTACCCAAGGTCTTGGTTTCAGCCTTTCCCATACACGAAACAGGGGCCCTGGGGAGAACAGTTGAGCTAATATTTAACAAAACTGTGGGTATAATGACTCCCATTGTATTTTTTATTTATTATGAGGGAATATAGACTATATGTAGGTCATGATAATGGAAAGGGGACCAGGGCAGAGGAAAAAAGAGGCCCTAAGGGAGAGCTGAGTAAGGGGACAAGGAAAGATAAGATAAAAATAAAGCAACAAAACATATGACCCAAAGCCAGAGGGGGACAACGGAAGGAGGAAGGGGACCAGCAGAAAGTGGACTCGTGGTTGGGAAAGGGAAGTCAGGGAAGATGATCGACAAGAGCAAAGCAAATGAAAATCCTGTAGTGAAACCCATTTCTTCATACGTAACTTTTATAACTAATAAAAAAATAAAAAGTGCCTGAGCCAACAAAATGGCTCAGTGAGTAAAGGCCTTTGTGGCCAACTTGATGACCCTAGTTCACTCCCTAAAGCCATAGGGAAGATGGAGAGAACTGGCTCCTGCAAGTTATCCTCTGACCTCTGCACACACATGTGCTCATACATGTACACACATGCAAACACTCACACAAATAAACGTAAGGATAAATTTTATAATAAAAGAAAAACACATTTTTTTCCATCTTGTCCACATCTAAGTGTCACGAAAGCACATTCATGGCACGGTACAACTGTCGCCACCATCCGTCTCCAGAACTGGCTGTCTTCAGAAGCTGAACTCTGTCCTCATTAAGTTCTGACACCCACCCCCATCCTCCCAGCCCCTGGCACCCAATCTCACTTTCTGTTTCTGTATGTCTGAGGACTCCAGGAAACTCCTAAAAGTAATTCTACAGGTGTTATCCTACTCTGGTTCACGCCCTCAACCAATGTACTATACTCAAGGGCCATCAGTGCTGTGCTTCACTTTGTTTGATTTTTACTGATTTACTTTTAGCCATGCTAGGGTTTGGAGGGTCAAATCCAGACACATGCCAGGTGTGTGACTGCTCAAGGCTGCCTGCAGACATTTGGTCCTTCCATTGAGGTTAATTTGCAGCTCCTGTGGGGCGGGAGAGAGGACAGAAAAACTGGTTTGAGGGGACATGAACGAGAACTCTGAGGACAAGGTTTCTCTTGGGGACGTTCTCTGGCCTTGAAAGGATGCTTGGATGCTTGTGCCGTGGGTGCACTGGGACTGGAAAGCTAGACTCAGGGTTCTAGAGGAGACTGTAGCCTGTAGCCTTCAGGCTGTTCAGAGTATGTGGGTCTCACTGGAGGATCCTAAAGGATCTGGGACCTAGATTCCATCTTGGCTGCCTCTTGAACTGGCATCAGCTCTCTAAACCTAAGCCAGGGGAGAGCATCTCCAGCACCACTCAGACGGGGATCCATGTTGACGCCCCAGAGTGGAGCTGTGGGCTCATTAATTCATCTAAGAATGGAAAGCCTGGAGGAGTCAGAATTGTGACATTTTGAGGAACAGGTTTGTGATGGAGCTGGACTTATGACATTTAGGCTGGCACATGTCACTCACTCCCTTACACCTGGTAGGCCAGGAGTGACTCTGGTCTGAGGTAACAGAAGCAACCTGTGTGAATTTTGGTTGTGCTCTATGGGGAAGGGTGCGCCATGCCCATTGCCTGCCCCCTTGAGACCTGGTCACTCAGGAGAGCTGCCCCAGATGGAGACAGCTAGTAGCTGACCTTACACTGCTCAGGCCTGATTATTAATGTCTGTCTACAAAGCTGTCACCAGAGCTCACAGCGCAGGTGCCAAATTGTAGGAATCTGCTGCATGGAGATGGAGGCTACCCAGGGCTGCTGTGGTCACTGGATTTCAGGTGGGAACAGAAACCCTCATGAAATTGCAGACTGGAAACAATCTTAGTTTGCTTGTTTTTGAGACAGGGTTTCTCTGAGTAGCTTTGGAACCTGTCCTGGAACTCACTTTGTAGACCAGGCTGGCCTCAAACTCATTGAGATCTGCCTGTCTCTGCTTCCCAAGTGCTGGGATTAAGGCAAGAACCACCACCAACCGGCTGTTGTCTACATCTTAACTATAGCTGTACGGTTACTTTTCTCATTACTGTGACCAAATAAATACCTGCCAAGAAGCAGCTTGAAGAAGAGATTTATTTTGGCTCACCCTTTGAGGGAGTGTGATGAGAGGATCTGTGACAAGGGGATTGTGTCGCAGAGCTGCTCATCCACATCTCAGGTGATAGGGAGACAGGGACAATCCTGTGAATCCTTTGCCTCTTCATAGAAACTTTAAAACTGAACTTTTGATATCTACAGAATGCCTTGCTGGAATTTTCATTTTGGTTGCACTGACACTTAAGTTGGGAAGAACATCTTAATGATATTAAAAATTTGTTTCCGTGAACACTCATTAGATCTTTAATTTCTTTCATACAATTTAGTGTCCATTTCATATAGAACTTTACACATTTTGATATATTTATATCTAAGTATTTCACTTTTTGATACCAATGTAAATGAACAAAATTTAAGGGGAGTTTTTTTAAAGATTTATTTGTGATTATTGTGTATGTGGATGGGTGGCATGTGCACATGAGTGCAGGTGCCCACAGAATCTAGAAGAGGGTGTTGGAGCCCCTGGATCTGGAGTTACAGGTTAATTGTGAGCTTCCCGGCATTGGTGCTAGCTACCAAATCCAGGTCCTCTGTAAAATCAGTACATCTTAACCACTGAGCCATTTCCCTAGTTATGGGTGCTATATTTTAATTCTGATTTTTTTTGCTAGTACACAGGAAATCAAATAGCTTGCAGATGATCCATGTGTCCTACAACCTCACCATAGTAATTTACTAGCTCTAGAAATGTTTTTGTTGTCTGGCATTTTCTACATATATACGTTGTATGTAAACAATTACAGCATGACTTTCTTCCCAATCTGTGTACCTTTTGTTTCTTTTTCTTGTTGTATTGCACAGGCTTAAGGCCTCTAGTACAACCTTGAAAGGAGTGTAAGAGACAAGCCTTGTCTTATTCTCAGTTTTATAGGGAATGCATCCAGTTTGTGACCAATAAATGTGATGTTAACTGTAGGTGTTTTGCAACTTTTCACCAAGTTGAGGACATTCCATTTCATTCTTACTCTACTAAGTTTTTTCTTTGTTTGTTTGTTTGTTTGTTTATGAGACAGGGTCTCATTATGTAGCCCTGTTTAGCCTAGAACTCACTATGAAGACTAAGCTGGCCTCAAACTCAAAGAGATCTACCTGCCCCTACCTTGCAAGTGCTAGAATTAGACATGAGCCATTAGGTCTGGCCTTTACTAAGGATTTGTTTGTTTGTTTTCAAGTCAAGAACAATTTTGAAGTTTTCACAAATGCCCTTTGTTTTGGACAGAGTCTTGCTATGTAGCCCAGGCTGGCCTCAAACTTTTATTTTTCATGCTTCAGTTAAACAACTTGTTCAAGCTCGCACAGCTTTCGAGTAGTTTATTGGAGAATATGTTGGCTTTGTGGTTCTTCCCTTCTTTCTTTTTATTTAGACATGCATGTGGTGGGGACACACACACACACTTGTGTATGGGTAGCTGCAGAGGCCAGAGGAGGGGGATTGGATAACCTGAAGCTGAAGTTATCAGTGGTTGTTAGCTACTTAATGTGGGTGCTGGAAACCAAGCTAGTCCTCTGCACGAGCAGCAAGTACTTTGGGGTGGGGGCTGGGGTTAGAGACAGGGCTCTATGTGTAACAGCCCTGCCTGTCCAGGAACTCACTTTGTAAACCAGGCTGGCCTCAAACCCATAGGACCTATCTGCCTCTGTCTCCCGAGTGCTGGGATTAAAGGCATGTGTCACCAAAGTCTGGCGCAACAAATACTCTTAAGTGCTGTCTATCTCTCCAGCCTCCCCCCTTTTGAACATTTATTGTTGAGTGGCATGTATTCCACAGCTTAGGTGTGGAGGTCAAAGGACAGCTTCGTGAAGTTGGTTATATCTCTCCACCTTTATGTAGTAGGTTCCAGTGATGCAACCCAGGTTGTCAGGCAGGCACTGCTGCCTGAGAAGCCACCTCACTGGCCTTAGCTTTGCATTGTCTACATTCAATAATGATAACAAGGAGACAAAGCAAACTTTTTTTCAAGAATTTATAGAAAAAGATATGCATTAAAGAGCAACACAGCTTTGCCTGTGTGCACTATGTCTTCAAGGACTGTAATTTAGTCCACTACAAATTCCTGCACTCAAATACCATGATAAGTTTGCCATATGGAGGTACACACACATGCCTACACACACGTCCATCCCCCACAGACAGTGGAACTCCACATCCCTGTAGTGCCTTGCAGGTCCTAAGGTCAGAAATATCCAATCTCTGCCGTTTAGCTGGTGTGGGAAGTTTTAATAGGCTGCAGAACTCAGGGCCTGGCTCCCCTCTTGCACTGAGGAACGCTTCCACAAAGCCCTGCCCACACATTCCCCCTCTGACTTTCTCACCCTGTCTGCAAAATTTAAGCCACCTAAGACCATTTATGAGGACCTAGTTTAGTTGTGAGCCATCCACTTAATCTGAATCACTTTCTCCCAGCTGCATGGGATGCCACACCCAGTGGGAGGAGTATTGGTAGAATAAAATAGAAGAAAACCAAAGGTCACCAGGTATAGCACTTAAATGTGAACTGTACTTAAGTGTGGGAGCCTTGTGACTGTTAACAACTCTCTAGCTGAACTGGAATGGACAAGGCTGAGCAACACCGTCAGTCCCAGGATGAGACCAGTTTAGCAGGGGAAGGATCGCCTGTGCTCCCTACCTCCACCTCTGAACATTAGTGACAGGACTCCATGGCTGGGGCTGGGGCCTCCTGCTCCAGGTGAGTGTGACCTCTAGGGAAACCTTCAAGTAAAGTGGGCTCACCTCTGGAGCCTGTCCTGGGCTGCCAATCTTCTATGCCCCTCTAAGCCCGAGCATTTATGAGTCTGCTCCCAACAAAGGACTTAGACTCAACCCCTGGTGCCAGCAGTCCAGAAAGGACTCACAGAAGTGTGCTATGATCTTGGAGCAGAGAATTCAGAGAGCCGGCCAGGGCCTGGCCTGTATGCTCCCTGTTCCTGAGGCAAGCCGTGCTAGGTCAGCCCTTTCAGAGGAAGAGCCAAAGGAGAGCACAGACCCATATAGGGATCTTAACTGGCTTTATCTGGTGTGGTCAGGTGTGTGAAAGGAAGGACGCAGAAAGCTAGCTATGGGGTGATCCACTTCACTCACAAGCAGTTAGGAATTAGAAGTGTGTTGTCCTGGAGCTCCATGTGGAGAATGTGAGAGGTGGGACCCAGGGCACTTTGGAGGTTCGGGGACAGGTCCCGAACAGGTCGTATCAGTAATAACCCTGTCCATCCCCAGCCGGGACACGGATGCATTGGCACGGGAGCTGCTTCTGGTCGCACTAGAGGACTTGAGCCAGGAGCAGCTGAAGCGCTTTCGCCACAAGCTGCGGGATGCGCCCCTGGATGGCCGGAGCATCCCATGGGGGCGACTGGAGAACTCAGACCCCGTGGACCTCGTGGACAAGCTGACCCAGTTCTATGGGTCAGAGCCAGCCGTGGATGTGACCCGAAAGATCCTGAAGAAGGCGGACGCTCGGGATGTGGCGGTGCGGCTCAAGGCGCAGCAGCTGCAGCGTAAGCTGGGTGGGGTAGGATGGGCCTGCTCTCCTAGAGATTTGCTTCGTCCACTCCACCACAGACTGAGGCTATGCTTCTGCCCTCCCCTCTCCCGGGAACCAACCAATAATTTCGTGCACAGGCGGGCAGTTGCAGAGGCTCCCAGGGAAATGCCTTGCTCCATCCCTCATGCTCAGTGAGCCTGACATCGGGTTTTCCTTCCAGGGCTCGGCTCCAGCTCAGCAGTTGTCTCCTTGTCGGGTAAGTTCCTGGGCACACAAGTGAGAGGTCCTGTTGGGTTCCTCACCGAGCCCGTTTCCTGGTGCTGCTTGGGGGGTGGGGTGGGGGCGGGGGGTTAGCTGTGAGATAGCTGGAGGAAGAAGCCATGACACAATAAAGAAAAGTGAGGCCAGATTTAGACAGGCAGGGCGTTGGTTCCAGGGTGACGGCAAGCGCCTTCATCCCTACCTGGCACGGTCTCACACCTTACAGAGTACAAGAAGAGATCACGCTAAGGTGAAGGAGAGGAACTCACGCTCGGTAAAGATCAACAAGCGCTTCACCAAGCTGCTCATCGCACCTGGGAGCGGCGCGGTGGAGGATGAACTGCTGGGGCCGTCGGAGGAGCCGCAGCCTGAGCGCGCCAGGCGCTCAGACACGCACACCTTTAATAAGCTCTTCCGGGGAGATGATGAGGGCCCGCGGCTGACCGTGGTGCTGCAGGGCCCAGCGGGCATTGGCAAGACCATGGCCGCCAAGAAAATCCTCTACGACTGGGCAGCAGGCAAGCTATACCACGGTCAGGTGGACTTCGCCTTCTTCATGCCGTGCGGCGAGCTGCTGGAGAGGCCGGGTACGCGCAGCCTGGCAGACCTGATCCTGGACCAGTGTCCAGACCGCAAGGCGCCGGTGCGGCAGATACTAGCTCATCCCCAGCGCCTACTATTTATCCTGGACGGTGCAGACGAGCTGCCTGCCGCAGCAGCCCCGGAGGCAACGCCCTGCACAGACCCTTTCGAGGCTACCAGTGGCTTGAGAGTGCTGAGCGGACTGCTGAGCCAGGAGCTGCTGCCCTTGGCTCGCTTGCTGGTGACTACACGCAATGCCGCTGCCGGGAGGCTGCAGGGCAGACTGTGCTCGCCACAGTGCGCAGAAGTGCGTGGCTTCTCGGACAAAGACAAGAAGAAATATTTCTTCAAGTTCTTCCGCGACGAGAGGAAGGCAGAGCGCGCTTACCGCTTTGTGAAAGAGAATGAGACGCTGTTTGCACTGTGCTTTGTGCCCTTCGTGTGCTGGATCGTGTGCACCGTGCTGCAACAGCAGCTGGAGCTGGGCCAGGATCTGTCTCGCACCTCCAAGACCACCACATCCGTGTACCTGCTCTTCATCGCCAGCGTACTGAAGTCTGCAGGCACCAATGGACCACGGGTGCAGGGAGAGCTGCGCACACTGTGCCGTCTGGCCCGCGAAGGCATCCTGAAGCATCAAGCACAGTTCTCAGAAAATGACCTGGAGCAGTTGAAGCTTCAGGGCTCCCAAGTCCAGACACTGTTTCTCAGCAAGAAGGAACTGCCGGGCGTGCTAGATAAGGAGGTCACCTACCAGTTTATCGACCAGAGTTTCCAGGAGTTCTTGGCTGCATTGTCATACCTATTGGAGGCTGAGGGGGCACCTGCAGGAGGTGTGCAGATGCTCCTGAACTCTGACTCAGAGTTGCGTGGTTATCTTGCACTCACCACTCGCTTCCTCTTTGGACTGCTGAGTGCAGAGAGGATTCGTGACATTGAACGTCATTTTGGCTGTGTGGTGCCAGAGCGTTTGAAACAGGACACCCTGCGGTGGGTACAAGGACAGGGCCACCCCAAGGTGGCACCAGTAGAGGCAGAAAAGAATGATGAGCTGAAGGACACTAAGGAACCAGAAGAGGAGGAGGAGGAGGAGGAGGAGGAGGAGGAGGAGGATCTCAACTTTGGACTGGAGCTGTTGTACTGCCTATATGAGACACAAGAGGATGCTTTTGTTCGCCAGGCTCTCAGCAGCCTTCCAGAAATGGTCCTGGAGCGAGTTCGGTTCACCCGAATGGACCTTGGTGTCCTGAGCTACTGCGTGCAGTGCTGCCCGGCTGGTCAGTCTCTGAGACTGGTCAACTGTGGGCTGGTGGAGGCAAAGGAGAAGAAAAAGAAGAGTCTGGTGAAGCGGCTGAAGGGGTGAGTCTAGAGGGCAAGGCTGTCCTCACCAGGGCAACTTCCACACATGCCCACTTGGCCTGGGACGCATGTCCACACCTGATAACCCATATAGCAGGGAGGACTTCAGGACCGTTAGACCTGAGACACCTTGCAAGTCAGCTGTCTCTCTTCTTCCCCCAGCTGTCTCTTTTAACACCCACCTTTGGTCATGCAGATCAAGGCAGCCCTCCTGGCACAGCCAACATAGCTCCATGAAGGGCATAGGCCCCTCCCTGATGCCCTTTCTCATACGTTCTGGCCTATGACACGGCCTCTGTGTGCTGAGCCTTGTACCTGCCCTTCCCTCCACCCCAACACTATTTGCTGTCTATCTTCAAAGTCTACCCTGGCCCCACCACTTGGGTTCAACTCTGGCCCCAAGATACCACCACTGACCACACTATTCTACATCCTCCTCCCCTCCCAGCCTCCACCAGATCCTAGGTTCCTACACAGACAAGGACCTTTACTTTCTTTGAACTCAATTCTATTCAATAACCATCCTGAGACTTGCCATCTGTTCAGAGTATACACCAGGATAAAGGCAGGGCCTGGTCCTAGGGACCTGCAGGCCTACTCTTGGGTTTTGTTCAAGTTTATTAGGGGAGGGGGATGCAAGGGATGTGGGATAAGTGGCAGAGACAGTTCTGGAACCCCAGACCCCAGGTAGGAAAAATTGAGTACTTTCTAGAAAGGCCTGGAAGGAGCACTATGGCCGTCAACCTTGTTCTTTCTCTTTCTGCAGTTCTGGAAACACCACGAAACAACCCCCAGTCTCCCTGCTGCGTCCCCTCTGTGAGGCCATGACTTCCCAACAATGCGGTCTGCGTATTCTAATGTGAGTCACCATGCTTCAGTGTGGAGGGGATTCAGAGCTGGGTGCCCTGTACAGAGACAGAATTTGCCTTCTAGGGAAGGCTGAGGACATAGGCTGAGAGCCTAACCAGGTTTCATAGCTATTAAGAGCTAGCAGGGAAATCATAGCTATTAAGAGCTAGCAGGGAAAAGCTGGTTTTAGGCTCTGTGGGAAACCCTGCAGCACAGCCTGTGGGGAGAGACAGAAGAAGCAACAGTGTTTTCCTTTTGAAGGAAGCTCCTGAGTGCTGTTGGAGCTGACTGTGCCATCTCTCTGCAGGAAAGTGTTCAGAGGGCTTGGCAGCCAGTGCATCTGTGTCTCTGTGCCCTTGAGCTACTCAGTCTGTCCATGCTTTTGTTTCCTCCCTGTAAGTTATAGCCAGTTGAGGTCTGGAGAGATGACTCAGAGGTTAAGAGCACTGACTGCTTTTCCAGAGGTCCTGAGTTCAATTCCCAGCAACCACATGGTGGCTTACAATCATCAGTGCTGAGATCTGGTTACCTCTTCTGGCCTGCAGAACACTGTGTACATAATAAATAAATCTTTTTTAAAAAAGGATATAAGTATGTACTCAAAAAAATAGATACAGCCTGATGATTCTACCTCAGAGAATTGGTGTAAGATTTACTGAGGCTCCATGGGTAAAGTTCTTAGAATATGATAGGTTTCCTATTACTATTAGCTATCACTGTTGAGCAGAGAGTAAGGAAATTTCTAGGAACTAACATATAGGCTATGGTGAAGCAGATAGTCAGTCAGACATCAACAGAGGGTGAGGTGGAAAACTGGCTTTGTGGGGGTCGGGGTCCAGCAACCTAAAAATAAAACAAAAGATGTAAAAAAGATAGTCACCTTTGGCTCATAAATTCTACCAGAAAACTGAGTACAAGAAGGTGCCCACCTCATGGTTTGTAATAGCAAAGAAAAAATCAGAAACAGCAGAACTTTGGCTATTGGGAATGATGGCCTGTCTGAACCCGAAGGGTAATTATGAAAAGCTGAAAAAAAAAAAAAAAAGACTGGATTAGACCTTCTGCTAAGATATGTTACACAGATGAGCAACCTTGGGGAGATAGACTTAAGACCATAGTTAGGATATAGAGTGTGGACATTGTGTGCTGACCATTAGCATAATAAAATATAACTTTTGCTATACAAAAAAAAAAGAAAGGAAGGGAAGGAAGGAAGGAAGGAAGGAGGGGAGGAAGGGAAGGAAGGAAGGAAGGAAGGAAGGAGGAGAGGAAGGAAGAAAGGAAGGAAGGAGGGGAGGAAAGGAAGGAAGGAAGGAAGGAAGGAAGGAAGGAAGGAGGGGAGGAAGGGAAGGAAGGAAAGCTGTACATTGTTGTACATTGCTTGACTACCAGGGAGTGGGTAGCTGATTCAGCTGGAGGTGGGAAAATGGTCAGGGGCTTACTGGCCAATCTATGTGCTTTTTGACCACAGCTTGTCACGCTGTAAGCTGCCTGATAGCGTTTGTCGAGACCTCTCTGAGGCCCTGAAGCTAGCTCCTGCCCTAAGGGAGCTGGGCCTCCTCCAGAGCCGGATCACTGAGACAGGCCTTCGTTTACTGAGTGAAGGACTGGCTTGGCCCAAGTGCCGGGTGCAGACACTCAGGTGAGGCCTGGTTTTGGAGGGATGGAGGTAGGGGATCCCACCTCCTGCAACCTCTGAGGTCAGCTCCTCCACAGGATACAGCTGCCTAACCTCCAGGAAGCAATCCAGTACCTGGTCATCGTGCTCCAGCAGAGCCGGGTCCTGACCACCCTGGATCTCAGTGGCTGTCAGCTGGTTACATACATGGTGGAAAACCTGTGTTCAGCCCTGAAGTACCCGATGTGCTGCCTGAAGACACTCAGGTGAAGTCAGGGGGAGGCATGGTGCTCTGAGGACACAGTCTATCAACCCTAGATTAAAGTAGATGCCTAAGTACCTCTCACACACAGTTCTGAGTGCCCAGCCTACAAAGACTAGCCTTTTATGGTCCTATCCAAAGCTTTGGCTATCAAACAAACATCCAAAGCCTGTGGAGACAGTCTGGACCAATGAGCCTAATCCTCTTCTATAGTCCCTGAAAGGTCCTATAGCTAAGTAGACAGCTCCAACCACTCCACTCTCACTTGGGTTCTTCCCCCAGATGATTGACCCTTGCCCCTAATTGACCCTTGTCCCTCCCTAATTGACCCTTGTCCCTTCTGTCTTATGCATGTGGCTGCAGTCTGACCTCTGTGGAGCTGAGTGAAGTGTCACTGAGGGAGCTTCAAATTGTGAAGGCATCAAAGCCAGATCTGACCATCCTACATTCAAAACCAGGCACACATCCTCAGCCTCTCAAGTGATGAAGCAACGTATTCTGAGGCCTTGGAGGCCAGAAGAAGGTAGAGGATGGTGTAGCCAAATATTTTATGAAGATGTCCTCCCCATTCAAAAGAAGGAAGATGCCAGCTTCTCCCATCAGGCAAGTCTTTCAAGCCAAGAAGCCACAGAAGGGCAAACAAAAACCCAGGTAGATATAGGTCCTTGATAGCTCCTAGATAGGCCTGGCACATGCCCTGCCTTGGACACTATAAGGTTACTTGTGGCAGAATTTCTGTTGGCCAGGCACCAGAAAATTAGCAATTAGCCCCAACCCCTGCTAGGCCACAACTGGCTTAGCTCTGGAGCGTTAGAACCTAACACTAATCCATCTTTTGTTTAGAAAATACACTTTGTTTTACTTATGCCCTATGTGGATCTTATCTGAGAGTTTCCCAAAGCTACAAAGGTATGCAAAACTTGGTTCAGGAAACCTGGAAAACTGTGATGCCTGATGAATCAAGACTCTGCACATGGCATTGTATTTTTGGAAGACTCATTAAAGTTGTTCTAAGCATGTGGCAATCAACTGTCTAAAGTGTAAATATTGAGAAAAATAAAAATGCCCTGGGCATAGAGAAAGGCTTGAGACCACTGAGGCTGGAAATCCCTGCAACCTCCAAATGGCTAAGTTCATTCTTAAAGTGTCTCTGAGCCTTCTTTTGACTGATCTCTGTGAACCCACACCCAAACCGAGACATTTGTGACAGTTATTCTGTCCCCTAGTCCCACAACCACTGCTACATTCCTTTGGGGCCCTCCAATCTGTCCCTTGCAGATAATCCCAACAGGAATTAGAATATTCAGTAATTGGGCTTACTGTTTAAAGGTGTTATTCACCTTTGATCTGGTCCACATATGTTTCATGGTGGGAAGCAGGCCCACAGAATACTACTCTCTGTAGCCAAAAGTTAGGCAGATCAACATTTCAGTCTGGAATGTGGGGTGTTGGCTTTTGCAAAGATGCCATTCCTGAACCTTGGGGCTTTAGACCAGAGGGATCCACTTGCCGCCTGAGAGATGCAAGAAAGGAGCCAGAAGAGTGACAGCTTCCTTCAATGATGGGAGCTGGGGCAACATAGTGGATGTCTCCAACATAATACATTTCCTTTTGTACTCCCTTTCATTGATCTCTGTAACACTTGTCAAGGTATCAAAGTAGGTGTTGACATGATCTTTCCGATACCCACATATACAGGGCAAGGTTTAATCCACAGTCCACCACTGAAGAAATGGGGTTGGCATGCTGGCCTGACTGCAGAAAGTCTGTGAGAGGGGCGTGGCCTTGAAGGCCAGGGAGAGCCATGGATGCCCCAGAACTGTGTCTTCTGTGCTCAGCACTGCTGGGCGTCCAGCACTCTGCAGTGAGCCCCCTTACTTCCCAGGGGAAATTCTTTCCACAGTCCCTTTATAAACCCATTCCTCCATCTTCCAAAAGGAAAGCACAAAAATCTGCTGTATCAGTTACTTTTCTATTACTGTAATAAAACACCATGACCGGAAGCAACTTATAGAATGAAGAGTCAACTTGGACTTACAGTTCAGAGGGATAAGGGCCCACCAAGGCTGAGCATGGCGACAAGCAGCAGATTCGTCAACTGGAGCAGAAACTGAGGGTTCGTATATTGAACCACAAGCACAAAGCAAAGAATGAACTGAAAGTGTCACTAGTCTTTAAACTCTCAAAGCCCACCTATGGAGACATACTTTCTCTAAGAGGCCACACCCCCTAAACCTCCCCAAATAATACCACCAATTCGAAATTAAGTGCACAAATATTGTGATAGTTTGAATGAGAATGCCCCCATAGTTGTTGGAGGAGGTGTGTACTGGGAGTGGACTTGAGGTTTTAAAATCCCACACCATTCCCAGTTGGCTCTCTCTCTGCCTCCAACTTGCAGATCAGATATGAGATTTCAGGTACTGCTCCAGCACCATGCCTGTCTGCCTGCTGCCACACTCCCCACCGTGATGATCATGGACTAACCCTCAGAAACTGTAAGCAAGACCCAATTAAATGTTTTCTTCTATAAGCTGCCTTGGTCATGGTGTCTCTTCACTGCAATACAACAGTAACCAAGCCTCCAGGGGACATTTATAATTAAAATTACCACATGGTCCCAGAGGATTAGAGTCCTTGGCGGGAAAGCACAGCAGCAGCTAGCAGGTATAGTGGTAGGAACTGGAAGGTGAGAGGTCACATCTTGAAAGGCAAGCATGAAACAGAAAGAACAAACTGAAAGTGGGGAGAAAGGACACAATCTCTCCATACTTCTTCAGCAAGGCTGCACCTCCCAAACCTCCCCAAACAACACTATCAACTGGGACCAAGTGTTCAGCCTATGAGAGACATTTTTCATTCAAACCACAACATTCCACTGCCTGGCCATCATATGCTCCTGGCCACATCGTAATTCGAAATATTTTTAGTTCAATTTCCAAAATCCCCATAGTCCTTCACAGTCTCACCATGGTTTAAAAGTCCAAAGTCTCTTCTGGGACTTAAGGCAATCTCTTGATTAGCCTTCTGAAAAAAAAATCAAATTACAAACCTCCAACATATAATGACACAGAAATACTGGACCAAAGTGAAACGAACATTCAGCAGAGAAAAGACTGAATCCTGTAACTCAATGTTCAGCACCTGGGTCTAAAGTTTTAAAGAGCTTAGGTTACTTTGCCCCTTCAGATTTGCTGCCTGCAACATATGTCTCTCTCTTGGGCTGGCTCCACTTCCTGTGTGTAGCGGTCTTTGGAAGATGTGGCATCTCCATTATCTTGGGGTTTCCCCTGTAACACGAGCTTCACTTTCACAACTTTATGCATATCTCTCATGGCCTTCTTGTAGGGAATTCCTTGCCTACATGTTGCCTGGCCTCAGTGTGGACTCACAACTATCTGTTTCTCCAGTTCCAGAGGATTCAGTGCTCTCTTGTGACCTCCATAGGTAATGAACACACATGGTGTGCAGACAAAACACTCAGACACATAAAATAAAAATAATTAAAATCTAAGACAAAAGAAATCCTCTTCCTACCAGGGACCCCACAGCCACAGTAAGTGGCACAGACCAGGTTGGGAGTCAAGTCTCACCTCTCATCAAAGGAGCTTCTTTCTGCAGTAGGTGAGTGTGAACAGTGCAGTAAAGAGGCCAAAAGTGAGGCTCTGTGGGTGAAAAGAGGAAAGCTTATTCCAAACTACCATAAACAGAGAGCATGGGGCTGGGGTATATCGCCAAGGTTCTAAGGGAAGGGGTACCTGGGAGGAAAGGAGACTGTGAGCTGGGGTGAGGGGCTTTCAATTGTACAACAGGTGCTTGTGAATAGGGAGCCCAGCGGCTAGCACAGACCTTGATATACTAATAGGCACCACAGACATAAGTTAATGGACGAGTCATAGGTCCTCTTTACCCAAGATAAGGATTCTTTTTAGTGCCAGGGTGGTGGCTCAAACTTTTAATCCCAGCACTCAGGAGGCAGAAGCAGGTGGATATCTGTCGGTTCAAGACCAGTCTGGTCTACAGAGTGAGTTCCAAGGAAGACTCCAAAGCTATAGAAAAACCCTGTCTGGAAAAAACAAAAACAAACAAACAAATAGTAGCAAGTAGGAACTATCTTCTCAAGCCACTAAGGGAATGCTGACTAAATGCCAGACTTTGGGAAAAGGGATTTCTTGGGACGTGACAGAAGGACGACATGGCAGAAACCACAACTAGTCAAAATGAAGAGAAAAACTGTTGGATGCACAGCCACTAACACATCAATTAGCATAAAGCCTGCACCTAAGGCTCAAGTGAACAGCAAGGAACAGGGGCAGGGGCCAAGTTTGTAAGAGCCAGAAGGCCAAGCTGGCTGTGAAACTGTGCATGCTAGCTGTGGTGGAGAAGCTACACCCATGAACTCTCAACAATATGGCAGTCTAAAGATCTGCACAATTCCAACAACAGTTGACATCCAAATGTAGATAGGGAAAGCTCATGAGGCCCGGCACCTAGATGAAGAGCTATAATCAATTAACAACTGCTGAAAAAGAGACTTAGTCTTCCCCAGGGATGAATCTCAACTAGGAAGAAGAAGAAGAAGAAGAAGAAGAAGAAGAAGAAGAAGAAGAAGAAAAGCCCATGGCTGTTTGGTTAAAGCAAGCAGCCTCTCCCAAAGTCGGGATTTCAGAGAGGAGCCCTTCACTAGCTTTTGGGGTCCCTTTTATGGGGAAAGGTTAGGGTTGGTAGAAAACAGATGTTGAGATAATTAGTTATAAAAACAAGTGCAAGAATACACCATGTGGAAGGGGAGCCATCAAGGTATCTGGGAAGGCACATTTTTGTAAGGCAAGGGGCAATCATACATCACAGGTTCAGGAGTTTGGCAAGGAAAAGGGGCAGGCAAGCATCATGGGTCACAAGTTCTGCATACTTCTGAGAAACAGGTTTGCAGGGCTTGGGAAACAGAAACTGACACTTGTAAGGTGTAGAAACTTAGTAACAGTATGTACCAATGTGCCTCCCTAACAACAGTGTGGCTCCTGTTTTGATTTCACACCTCCTATTGGTGATCCAGTACCAAGTGGTCAGCCCTAGGAACATACACTGGAAGGCAAAGTTACATTTTAAGTTTTAATTACTATGCTTAAGAGACCCATGAAACAAAAATGCCTTTGTTCCGCAAGTCCCTTGCCCAAGGACAGATAGTTCCTGAAATGCTGGAAACTGCTGTTTATGGAAGATAACAAGCCACATGTTTTCACTCCCCCAAAACAAGTTTGTTTGACCCACCTGCACCGATTTGCTTGATCACTTGTGTGTGGCAGGAATACATCAGGATGTATACTTGCCCCTGATGGGAAATGCAATGAATTATGGATTTTACTTCCTAAACCCTTGCAAAATTTGATTCGGGTCCATTTTCTAGAGAACCAGAGATGGACCTGGTCAGAGCCCAACCACCTGGCCAGTATGCAACTAAAGCTTGCTTCAAATCTGGCTTTAAATTGAAGTAGTGGTTTTATTCTCCATTGGTGGGATATACATCAACACTGAACAGACTCAATAGGTTATGTTTTTATATTAACTCATTTATATGTATATATAACAGCAATGATTTTTAAAAAGAGACCCTGTAAATTTGGGAGGGACATACTTGGCAATAGAACAGAAGATGGAAATAATACAATTACATTTTAATTAAATAAAAATAAATAATCATTAGGTGTGATGGCACATATCTCCCCTACCCAAGGAGCTGAGGACCGAACTGCTTAGGTGGAAGCTGTAAGAACAATACACCTGGATGACCCTGACCCCGCCCCCTAACAACGGGGCACTCACCCGCCATGCATTGCAATCTGTGAGGTGCAAATCCCCAGTGTGAATACTGCAACATCCCCTTTAAAAGGTCCTGCCACCCATCCCTCTCTCTCTTCTTTTTGGCTCCTCGTGGGTTGGCTGTCTCCCCACCCCCCGCTCCCCCCCTTTCTGGTAAATAACCTCCACGTGGGTTGTTCATCCGTTGTTCCTTTCTTTATATCAGCAGCTGCAGCTTAAACAAAAGAATAACAGAAGCCCCTCTGGCATCTGTATCTGTTATGTCCAGATCTCAGAACCCCCAAAATCCACAAGGAGATGACTCACTGAATGAAAAAACAAAGGTTTCTTTATTATGAGTTTCAACTCGGACCCTGCCCGTTAGGGAACAAGCAGAGTGCCGCTTTTTGGCTGAGGGAGTTTTTTAAAGTGAAAGTTCAAAAGACTGGATCTCTTGAGATTACAAAGTTTTTATGGTTACATAGGATAAAACAGTAACTGTGTTTAGGCAGATGCAATTAGGCAGGAAGCTGTAGAGGAAATAAGTTTGTTAATTAACTCCTAGGCAGGGACTTTTACAACTACAAGTTGACAACTGTCTGTTTTTCTTTAGGAGAGAGAAATGTTGACACAGCTGGGGGGTGTTATCTGTTCCCATGCCTCTGTACCCAGTTCTTTGTTTAGCCTTAACTGTCGGGCTGCCTTTTTGGGAACTCCAAGAGGCTTGGAAGTTTTCTGTTTCCTATATAGGCTTTGGAGTCTAAGTTTTAGACTTTTATTAATTTTTTCCCTTTCGTATCTATACAAAGAAGTTGGGATGTTTGGGAGCCCCGTTCCAAACCCCACCCTCAGGGTGCCAAGAGGCGGGGCTCCTCCCCTGCCCATTGCCTCACTTCATACTGCCCCTAAAAAGCCCCTCATTGGCTCCACCCCCGAGGGCATTAAAAGCCCCCACCTCTGGATTCATCCCATGGTTCCTGGTTTTCTGTTCCCCTGAAGCCACCCAGGGATGCTTTGCTCAGATTAAAGCTGGATTTGTTAATTGGGTATGATTGGTTTATTGCATCACCGGCAGTGGGTTTTCAGTAACATTTCTAAATGTATCCCTAACCCAGGGCCTTGCTAGCACTGAGCTAAATCCCCAACCCCGCCGTGGTGCACATCTTTAACCCCAGCACTTGGGAGAAAGAAGTACGTTGGATCTCTGTGAGTTTGAGGCTAGCTTGGTTTTCATAGCAAGTTCTAGGCCAACCATTCAAAAAATAAAATAAAAAAAATAAAAATATGTCTCTAAAGAGGTCCACCGAGCTAAGGAGAAAATCCGAAAAGCATCCAGTTGTGCACCCACCTCTCTCATGTTTGCATGTTAGCAGGCTTTTCTCATGTATGCTCTGTTCCTTAAATGAAGCCAGGTGAGGAAAGGGCTTACACACTTTGCAAACTGTGTTGTGTCTAGCCTAAGGAAGAACCAACCTAAGAGGGAAGGGCAGCTAGTCTTTCCCAGCCAACTGGCTTCTTTCATATGTTAATTCTGAGACTCTGTTTTCAGTCTCTACTCTCGACCACAGGAGGTCACTTTCTCTTTCTGACCTCATACTGGCTCTACCCAAATGTGCTTCCATATTGACTTGTTCTGAAGTTTTGTTATTGTTGTTTTTCATTTTGTTTTTTCCTTTCAGACAGGGTTTCTCTTTAGTTTTGGAGCCTGTCCTGGACCTCATTCTGTAGACCAGGCTGGCCTGGAACTCACAGAGATCCTCCTGCCTCTGACTACCAATTGGCCTGCGCCAATTATTTATTATGTACACAGTATTCTGCCTGCATGTAGGTTTGCAGGCCAGAAGAGGGCACCAGATCTCATTATAGATGGTTGTGAGCAACCACCATGTGGTTGCTGGCGATTGAACTCAGGACCTCTGGAAAAGCAATCAGTGCTCTTAACCTCTGCACCATCTCTCCAGCCTCCTGAAGTTCTTTTCTGCAGTAGACTTAAGGACCTCACTTTACCTGAGTGGTGGTCCCTAAGATAGAACTGAGCCTACCGGTCTCAACATTACAACCACTGACAGTCATTGCTGCTATAGGTTGTAGAGGACAGCAAAGTACAGCAAGGGCTGGAGAGACTAAACCAAGGATTTCTGACTCACAAAGGCTCTGAGGAGATTTCCAAAGAGGGGGTACTTAAAAGGGGAGAAAGAGAGGGAATATGTAGAAGGGAATAGCTTGGAAAGTACCAGAAATGCTAAAGAAGCCTGGATGGTAAATGAAAAATGGGGACATGACAGTTGCTTGGTATGGCTGAGAAGAATGTTTTATTATAGATATGAGGGAGAGTTTAGCCAGAGGCATCTGGAAGGGTCCAAACTGAACTGGGCCACAGAATAGACTGGGCCATGGGAGGGAGGAGGGAGAGAGGGAGAGAGCACATGACAACCAAGGGACCAAGAGAGACCATAGCCAAAACATCTGGGTTATATAGGAAAGAGAAGCTGGGGGGAGGGAAGTGAAACTCAGGGGCTGCAGATGTTCAGGTTAGGGGCCTGGGTATGTCAGCCAGGATGTCTCTGTACAGGTACTTGAGGGTAGGGACGGGGACAGCCCAGAGGCTAGTATAGACCTTGCTGTGCTAATAGACTCCACAGCCATAGGTTAATGGAAGAGCCATGTGTCCCTTTTGCCAGAGATAAGGAGAATGATTCCTTTAGCAGGTGGGAACTATCTTCTCAAGTCCCAGAGAGAACGATGGCTTTTGTCTAAATGCCAGACTTGGGGAAGAGGAATGTCTTGGAGCCTAGCAGGTGGTGCCTGTACAATAGGAGAGGGTTTGAAAACCAAGGCAGGCAGAGAGTATTTAGGCTGAGGTCAGGTGAGGCGGCTTGCTGCAAGCCTCTGGTATTAACTGGGGTGTGACCTAACCCTCGCTGCTACTGCCCTGGGTGGGCCCTGGAAACAGCAGCAGGAGTCTCTACAGTGGATCCAGGAGGCCTGGGCTTGACACTGGCCATTCGTGGCAGTGGGCTGTTGGTGGCACGGAGACAGGGCGAACACGGTTTTGATTTTGATCTGGGTAGCTGGACAGCAGAACCAGATTCTGGAGCAGGTGAAGTCCAGGCTCTGACTGGACTGGTGCTCAAATACGGTGTCTGAGGCAGACCAGGGAACTGATGAGAGACGGACAAGACAGGCCCAGGTCCAGCCAGGAAGGCAAACAGATGGAGACCAATGGGGTGAGGTCCTCAGCAAAGGGAAGGACTGTCCAAGACGACTGGCTAGTGTCCTTTCTGGTGACTAAACATCACATTAGAGAGGGATCTCAGGCTTAACCGACCTTACATACATCTTAGAGCCAAAGCTCAACTAATCCCAATTCCAGTAAGATTTAGCACGGGCCAGTCGCCCCAGAGACCATGACATTTTCCCGGGTTCCGCCTAGAATCAGTCCC